GGTGTACCTGAAACAACTGTGAGCCTACATTAAATGCTGGCCTAAAGTTTTAACCATTTATCCAAGATTCTGCATATGTATGAAATTATTTAACAGCTGTTTGTTGACATTATATCCTGTATTATGTCAGTACATAGTAAAGAAATGCCTGAATTTTCAGTTAAGCTAGACAGATTAAGAGATACTAATTTTTAACTGGAAACAGTATTTGCTATGTAAATGATTAAAAACATTTTAAATTTGTAAAAAATAAAAAAAAAAATTAAAAAAAAAGAGATCGTAGAGGATTTCAGAAAATGGAAAGATATTCCATGCTCCTGGATAGGAAAAACCAACATTGTGAAGATGACCATACTCCCAAAATTGCTGTACCAATTTAATGCAATCCCTATCAAACTACCACCAACATATCTCACGGACCTAGAGAAATCATTCCTAAAATTCATCTGGAACCACAGAAGACTTAGAATAGCAAAGGCTATCCTGGGCAACAAAGACAAGGCAGGAGGCATTATAATTCCTGAATTGAAATTATATTCCAAAGCTATTGTGATAAAATCAGGCTGGCACCGGCAACAAAATAGACCTAAGGAGCAATGGAATAGATTAGAAAATGCAGAAGCCCCTATGAACACATTCAGCCGCCTTATCTTTGACAAAGGGACGAAACACGCTTAATGGAAGAAAGATAGCCTCTTTAACAAATGGTGCTGGAAAAACTGGCTCTCTACATGCCGAAAACTAAAACTTGACCCAGGTTTATCACCATGCATAAGCTCAAGTCAAAATGGATTAAAGATCTAAACATTAACAGAGAAACACTAAATCTCCTGCAAGACAAAGTAGAAAGAACTCTTGAAGACACAGGGTTAGGCAAAGACTTCATAAACAAAAATCAAATCGCACGGGTAACACTTGAAAGAATTAACAACTGGGACCTCCTCTTATTGCTAAGTTTGTGCACATAAAAAGAAATTACCAACAAAGTGAAAAGAAAACCCACAAATTTGGAAAAAAACCTTGACTAATAAGCACTCAAAGGTCTGCTCTCTAGAATTTATAAAGAACTAACATTAGGGCCCCTAAATTTAAAGACCCAATCCAGAAATGGGCATCCAAGATGAATACACACTTCTCAGAGGACAAAGTTAAAGAATCAAATAAATATATGAAAAAATGCTCCACATCGCTAGCCATCCATGAAATGCAAATTAAAACAACACTGAGATACCATCTCACCCCACAAAGAATGGTTATCATAAAGAAATCAACCAACAAGAAATGTTGGAGGGCTGTGGGGAAAAAGGAACCCTTCTCCACTGCTGGTGGGAATGTAGACTGGTACAACCATTATGGAAATCAGTGTGGAGACTCCTTCAAAAACTAGTACTGGAAATCCCATTCAAACCAGCTATCCCCCTACTTGGAATTTTCCCAGAGGAACTGAAATGTCATATCATAGTGATATATGTGTACCTATGTTTATAGCAGCACAATTTGTGATAGCCAAATCTTGGAAACAACCAAGATGCCCATCACCTGAGGAATGGATGAAAAAGATGTGGTATTTTTATACATTGGACTACTACTCAGCTATAAAGAATGATAAACTTGAAGCTTTTATATATAAGTGGATGCCACTTGAAGATATACTCATAAGTGAAATAAACCAGACCCACATGTATAAATATCATATAGTCTCCTTAGTATAAGAACTTAAAGGAAAAAATGAAAATAGAAAGGCATAATACAATTAAAAGGAAAGTGAGAATTTGAGGATTAGTGAACAAAGAGAGGGCAAGGAGAAAAGCTAGAAAACATGACAGGGGCAAAGTCATACATTTATATGCACAAGAAGGGAAAGGCAATGGTCCTGAGAATCTTCAGCATGTTTTTGAAAATAGCAGTTAATTGGTAGGTTTCTCACCCTGACTATATATGCTGATATCTGTGAACAAAACAACTGCACTGAAGAAAGCAATATGTAATGGTTGTGTCATGCTTGGAATGCCTGTTATTCTGGTCTTCTAATTACATACTGTTTGTCATGACATACCAATTATGGCCATACTGTCTCTCAACTAAAGGCTTGTTTAAAAAAAAAAAGTAATAAATGAAAACATGAGACAAAAAAGTCACAGGACTGTCCTGCTACAAGGCTGTATATTGTTAGATTTCTAAATTTCTGTGAAAAAAATATGTAAATGCTTATTGTTATTCTTTTTAAATATTTGTTTATCTTTTTAATCTTTTTTCTTCATATTCTGGAGTGACTTGAAGTTTAACATATCAATACTTGATGGAAAATACCTGTTCCATGCTATGTCTAAGATGTTTGATATTCAGACAGATAGTGAGGTTAAGCTCAACTGCCTATGTTATAGGGTAATAATATCATTAAGCTTCTCTTCTGGAGGGTTAACAACTTAAGTTTGCAGACAAAAAATTAAAGAAAAAGAAGGGCTACAAGGACAGCCAACATTTTGGCCCTAGTCTTTCAAGGTCAGTAAGGACTCAGGCCATAAGGGAACCTGTACTGTAACATTCTCTAACTCAGTGTTGTCCCAAATTTTCTGTTCAAGGAGAATTTGGGGCCACAGAGGAAAGTGATTGATGATGTACAGTATGCCTAAGGAGAGTCACATGGAGAGAAAACATTCTCTCAAGCTTTCACAGAGAGCAAATTGGTCAAACAATGGCCTTGACTCATCCACATGGCTGACACTGACAAAGGTTCTGCAAACTGCTATACAGGGTTTCAGGATAAATCCTGAGGGGATTTGACTGACCTTGGCAGATACAAAAGTTAATTTCTTGTTATGTAGGTCTTGCTCTTTCTTGTTCTTAACCATCCAGCAGAAAAGTATGAAAATGAAGTATAAAAAGTAAAGCCATATTAATATGATGAGCTGTAAAATGCTCAGGTCAACAACTTCGAACATTAACAATCTTATGGAAAACCCACTACTATTATGGACTATTGGACTATATTGGGATATTTTGCTGAATTCATGCACCTACAGTATTTAAATGACAATGGAATGCCCTTCTCTGACAAAACTAACCAAAAAAGGGGGATACAAATGAACAACCATTTTGTATCTGTATACTCAAAATAGGATAGATATACAGCTCCGTTCTCTTAAGTCAATGAATAGAGAGGTTTCCTCTAGTAGCGTTTGAGACAGGATATCAGGTCTGCATCTTGTACAATGAATAACCACTAAAACCACTAAGACAACAATATGAAATGTATTAATTATTAAAAATGTACTAGTAATTGGTTGTGAAACTGTGTCATTGCTATTTGTTTCTCAATAAAAATATTAAAAAAGAAAAAAAAAAAAGATGTGCACTCAGCGTTAACCATTAAGCATTAGAGATGGCACAACCCAAAGGCACCAGCTGCACTCTATCTTAAAATCCTATTTGTGACTTACTAGGCACTGGGCCTGTGTCCCTACAGCTCAGAGACCAGCACTACCATCAAGTCCCTATCTAGCAGATTCTGGAAACACAGAGAGGAAAAGGCAGATGCCTGTAGTGCGTGACTTAAAGCACTGGTGGCACCCAGGCCTGTGTCACTCAGACGTGAAGGTGCCACCCCACCATCCACAGCACTTTCTTTCCTCTGGGGAAGAGGCAACCAAGCTCTTCCAGCGCAGTCTCCTCCCTGCCGAGCACACAACTTCGTGGAGCAGCACCGGTGTCTGCTGGAGATGGGGTGGAAAGAAGCATCAGCCATGCCACAAGCGTGGAGGTGCTACTGCTCTGTTATCTTATTTACTTGTGACAATAGCCAATATTTAGGAAATGAACTGAAACCATAAAAATTCTAATGTTTACTTCTGCAAACTTCACATGAAGCAGGCTATGTGTGCCATCACTTGTCAGAGGGCCTCTTACAACAGCAGCGAAAAGCCAGGTCAAGCCACTAAGCAAACAAAGCTTTCCTAACTTGGCAGTACTGTTTCTCAAAAAAGTTGTCCTATTTTATGCCTGTCCATGTCTGTAAAATTACCAGCTCCCTCAGCGCACTGAGGTAAAAGTATGAAGTTAGGGAAACTAAACTGAGGAAGGCTCATTTGATTTCTGTTTGGCTGCAGGACACTGACCAGCATCTGATCATGAAGTTGCTCAAGAGCAACAAAGAACAGCAAAGAACCTTAAAGGAGAATAAGCTAAACACAACGGAACCCTGGAGCTTAACTGCATATCACCTGCCAGCCTCAGTCCTCCTGTTCTGATCCCCTCTGGGCTTGTAGCAAAGTGGCCTGGGTGTGTCTTCCGCCCTGCAGGCGAGCCTTGACAGCGCCCAACCTCCTCCCAGAGCCAGAGACTGTGCCTGCCCAGGCACTGCCAAAGTGGCCTACTGCCTCCTGGACCCTGCTCCCAGGAAGGGCACTAGGAAAGGTGAGGAAAGTCCACCCTTCTCCGGGCTCCCTGTGCCCCTTTGCCTCACTAGCCTACCTTCCCTCCACCACTGCATCTCTGAGAGGCAGAAGAGGCTGACAGGCAGGGAGTCCTCCCACACAGCCTGTGATAGCCCAGGGTGAGACAGTCTCAGCTCTCCTTCAAGGTATTCTGAAACATAAAGCCTTAGAAAATCCTAAAATTGCCCTGTCAAGTAGCTGACAAGGTCAAATGCTTCTCCATCCTGACCTGGATTTGACACCATGGCAACCATGAGGTCTGTGTCAAGATGGGCAAACAGGGGGCTGGAGAGATGGCTCAGTGGTCTAAAGCACCTACTTAGAACAAGCTTAGCAAAAGCATCAGGGACCGCGGTTCAATCCCCCAGCAC